GGAGGGGAGGGGAGAGGAGAATGAACACATATTTGTAGGCAGGAGAGTGAGACAAAGGAAGATTTAAGATACGTTCTGACTTGAAGCTGTTGATATGCATAAAAATATTAAAAAAACGAACCCACTGTCTTGGACTTCAAATTATCCTACATTGTCTTTTCACCACTAAAACTTATGGGTTGGGATTTTTTTCTAGTTGGCTCTGTATTGGAAATGAGAAGTATTTTTAATTTTTTTTTTAATTCAAATTTCTGAGGTTCATAGAATTTTTGTATCTTACCCATGCCATTTGACCTAAAGTATAATTTTGAGCTTTGTATTTTTAAGGAACTGGTTTTCCTGGAATCACTTTTAGCTCAAATAATGGCCACCAACTCTGGAAACCCACATATCCTTTGATGTTATCTGCTGAGAAATGAACATAACATTAACCTTCAGTGGTGTGCCTTGTTTGATTCCTAATAGCTTGAATTCTAGAAAGCTTGCTATCTCCTAGATTAGTATATGTGACATGTGAGGAATAAATCCTGTGTTATTTTATACAAAGGTTCCCTAATGACCAAGTAACCTGCTGTCGCTATTCTTTCTTTCGAAAACCTGCTTAGTAATTTTTGATTGCTATTGCACAACTCAAGTTGTTGTTGTTGTTGTTGTTGTGTACTGTCAAGTCAGACCAATCTATAGCTGGCCCTCTCATAGGTTTTCAGAGGAGGACAGTAAAGGAGAGGAGAGGAGATTGCGCACCCTTCTCCCGCAGAGCACCTGGTGGATTCAAATATGGTGCTTTCGGGATTGCAGTGTCGTTTCTTACCAAGCCGTTCACAAACTTCTTTTTTTAAGTTTCTCTAGACATTCAGACTTTTAACATAGAAAACATAAAAAATTAAGGACAGTTGACAAGAAATTGAAAGACATGTTTGGGACAATCTCTGTGGAGTTTCTGATTTGCCTTTCTAGATTGGTTGGTAATTGGAGGTGATTGTGGTCAGAGTTCTATTTCCATATATGGTCTGGCCATTACTCATTTGCATACTCAGTCACTCAGTGTTTATGTATTAAGTATTATTTCTTATTTATTCTCCAAATGGGCCACTGTGAAACTTGAGTTCTATTGGCCTCATGATAAGACGTTGTACTACCCACTCAGATCCATCAGTTGCTTCTTGGGAGAAAAACGTGCCATCACATCCTGTGCAATTTACAGCCTTTGGAACTCATTGGATGGTCAGCTTTGAGTAATGCTCTTGGAACTAACAATAATAAAACTTTATTTATTCAATCTACTTTGAGGCAAGATAATAAAGGACATTATTTATACAGTGAGAGAATTCCACTGATGGCCTAGTGATAAGGAATTTCAGCATAAAGACGTGTGGTTTGAATCTACCATTCTTCTGTGAGAGAGAAAGATGGTCAACCTCCTCCCATGTGATTTACTGTCACTGAAATCTGCCACAGGGTCTGCTATGAGCCGATTCTGATTTGTTGGTACACAACAACAACAACAACTTTAGTTGGTGTGTGCTATTTGAAAAATCTACTGCCAAGGTTCTCTTTAAAGTGCCCCAAAGCAATGATGTCAGTTTAAAGACTAAGGTGTGCCTGATCCAAACCATTTTTTTTCCAATTGCTTCTTACACATCTGATAGTTGGGCATTAAATAAGGTTGACATAAGAAGAATCAATGTGCTTGATTCATGATGTTGAAGAGTACTGACAATTCCATGGACCGTCAAAAGAACAAAAAATGTCTGTCTTGGACTAAATGCAAGCCAGGTGTATCTTAGAGGGAAGAACTGCAAAACATCATCTCACATTATTTCTGCATGTTGTCAGAATAGATCAGTCCTTGGAAAAAGACATCATACTGGGAAAGGTGGAGAGTCAGAAAAAGAGAAGACTCTCAATAAGATGATTGACATTTTGACTGCAACTATGGGCTTGAACACATCAGAGGTTGGGATGACGGTACGGGATAAAACAAGGTCCAAGTTTGCTGTTTTCAGGACTGATATAAGTTGCCAAGTTGACTTGAACACCTCTAACAACAAAAAGAACAACAATAATGTTTTAACAGGACTTATCTCTGGCAGAGGCCAAAACCTCCTGAAAAACAAGCAACACTTTTGTTTGCACCAAACTATTATTCTGCTAACTAAGCTCTGGTGACTTAGTAGTAAGAATTTGTGCTGGCAACCTAAAGGCACATTGTTCGAATCCATCAACAGCTTGTGGGAGAAAGGTAGACAATCTCCCAAATAATTTGTTGCTTTTGAAAACATGTTGGAGGGTCAGCTATCAGTAGGTTCTGACTCTAAGGTAAACAACAATAAGAACTAAGATCTAGGCATGTAAAGTCATAATAATTCCAGACAGAAGAGCTTGCTCTTATGTCCACTAACATACTGTAGAGAAACTATGATTGGGGGGAGAACAAGATTGGAGATGAAACAGCTGATATATTAGCTTGTGCAATAGATAGGGGCAGAAATGGAATGCCAGTTAGTAAGGAAGTGACAACTGAGCACATTGGGCAGAAGTGAACTCTTTCTATGTGGCCTTTTGGATGAACAGGATGATGCAATTTAATGTTCAAACAAATATCTTACGTCCTATATTGGAATAGCTTAGAAATGTAGGTGTTTTTAAAATACCCAGTGCATTTCAGAATGGCTATTACATTTATTTTGGCATTGTAATTTTACCTTTTTTGTAAGTGTCCAGGTTATTAACATTGTTGTCATTACTCTGTCATAGATGCAGGTGTCTGAAAGCTCCACAAAGATGGAAGAAGAGAATGGGACCGTGAAGACTGATTTCATCCTGCTGGGATTTAGTGACCACCCAGAACTTCAGAGACTTCTTTTTGCTGTATTCTTTTCCATCTACTCTGTGACGCTGATGGGGAACCTTGGGATGATTTTATTAATCACAACCAGTTCCCACTTGCACACTCCTATGTATTTTTTTCTCTGTATATTGTCCTTCATAGACGCATGCTACTCTTCCGTGATTGCTCCCAAACTACTTGTGGACTTGGTTTCTGATAAGAAAGCAATCTCTTACAATGGATGTGCTACACAGTTATATTTTTTCTGTTCCTTGGTTGATACTGAATCTTTCCTTTTGGCTGCCATGGCTTATGACCGGTACATAGCTATTTGCAACCCACTGCTTTATACTGTTATTATGTCCAAGAGAATTTGTTGCCAGCTTGCAATGGGAGCATTTTTGGGAGGTACCATGAGCTCCATTATTCATACCACCAACACTTTCCATCTCTCTTTCTGCTCCAAAGAAATTAACCATTTCTTTTGTGACATCTCTCCACTATTTTCCCTCTCTTGCACTGATACTTATGTTCATGACATTGTCCTGGTGGTTTTTGCGAGTTTGGTTGAGGCCATCTGTCTTCTAGCAGTTCTTCTCTCATACGTCTTCATCATAGTTGCTATTCTCAAGACAGGTTCTGCGGACGGGAGAAAGAAAGGGTTCTCCACGTGTGCTTCCCACCTGACCGTTGTTACTATCTACCATGGTACCTTGATCTTCATTTATTTACGCCCCAGCACAGATCATTCACTGGATATCGATAAAGTGACCTCTGTGTTTTATACATTGATTATACCCATGTTGAACCCTTTGATTTACAGTTTAAGAAACAAAGATGTCAAAAATGCTTTTAGAAAAATTATCAGTAGAAACTTTCTTTCATAGGAATAATGAAATGAGACTTGAAAACCTTTCATTAATGTCCATATCTTGACCTAGGGTTAGAGTGTTAGAGACGTAAGTTTAATAAGGATGGTTTCCAAATTTGCCAGATGAGGACTTAGTCACACAAAAGAGTCAAGAACTAATACCAGAACTGACCTCCTCACATCACTTATGCCTATCTCTATATTTCTAAGTTTATATTTCTAATATCTGTGCCTGAAATAAATTTATCCTTCATTTTATTTCCAATATATCCTATCAAAGGGAGCTTTGGTGTCCTAGTGGCAAAAAATTTCACTGGAATCCCAAATGCCTTTAGTTCAAGGCTACCAGCTACTCTGCGGAAGGATGGGTAATCTCGTCCCATGCAATTAACTGCCTCTGAAAACCTGCTGAAGGGTCAGCTATGGGTTGGTCCCACCTCGATAGTACAAAACAAAACAACACGTCATATAACACTTTTTTCTCTTTCCATCCTAATGTTACTTCATGTCTACTCTCAATGTTGAATTAATCATTGACACAATTTCTTCTCTTGTTTACATTTAAAAACAATGATTAAGATTTTGTTTCGATTCATTTCCATCTTCGCATAACTTCATGTACATGTTCCTTAGATGTGCTAATCCTACTCTAAAAAGTTCTGCTTAAATTTAACCTCTACATGCCGTTATCTAAATCCTCCTTTAACTGCAGGTGCTAGCTCACATTCTAAGCAGCATTCAAATCTTAGATGCGCTTTTTTTGACCGTTTGTCAACAATATATCCCTTACCTTGTTGCTGAATGTGACTGTGTTCTATACCTTTATTAGACATATTCATTCCTTAGTGTTTGTTCCCTTGTATCTACTGTAGTGTCTTCACCAGTACCTTCAATGAACAAATATTTATTTAACAAATATAAGAAATTATACTGTTAATTGTTTTAAGAATTAAACATGTATGCAGAAACTAATCTTTCCCCAATATTTTGATTCAGTCTCTGGAGTGACAGACATTATGTGTACAAAGAACTGTTAGTTATGTTAAGGATTTATTGTTATGTGCCACCGATTAATTTGTGACTCATAGTGATCCTATGTACAACAGCTCTGACCCTTGCTTTATCCTGTGCCAGTCTCCCAGACTCTGAGACACCTGCACTACTACTACAGTTACTATGTCTATTCTTACTCTCCTGCACTGTCCCTCCACTATTTCAAGCATGATGTCTTTCTTCAAGGACTGGTCCCTCCTGAAAAAAAGTGTGTGAGCTAGAGCTTAAAAATTTTTGCCTCCAAGGAGGAACTTGATTTCACCTCTCCAATACAGATTTCTTTGTTTTCTTGGTGGTCCTTGGGATGTTCAATGTTCTTTTTCAGCACCACAGCTCAAAGACTTTCTTTTTCTGTCACCCTTAGTTCTTGCCCAGCTCTCTGATGTATGGCAAATATGTATTTAATTCTGTTCAAAAAAATTATGACACTGACGTCTAACAAAATTTAATAATCTAAAGAAAGATGTACAGATAACAAGAAATTTGAAGTGTATATACTTGAACTTATGTTTAACAAAATTCCAAGTTCAAGTTCTTATCTTAAATTCTTTCTCTCCACCATAATTTTCTTAAAGCAAAAACAATCAAGCAAAAATTTTTAAATCCTGGTTCTGTACCTACTTGTAAAGGCCATTTTTCTTTAAAGGATAGAGTAAAATAGAATTTAAAAATATAGTAAAGAAATTATTTTTCCTAAGACATACCTAACATAGTTGTGAAAGCAACTTTGGACAGCAGTGGAACCCACTGCCTAAACCACATGCCTTCAGAAACCCTATGAACTTTGATAAATGTCGATAGCTGTAGAGGGGCTTCAAGCCTTTTGTTCATAGGTTTGCTATGATTCGTGCTCAACTTGAAGGCAATCAACAAAAACAACAATTAATGACTTTAATATTCATAAGTAAGGAAATTATACTATTTCAATAAAATGCATAAGATTTAGATGGCATTTGGAAACTGACTAAAATGTTTCCATAAATAATATGAATTACTAGAGAACATATTTAAAATGATTTGAAACATTTCATTTGTTTTTAAATTTTGTTTAATAAATGTAAAACAAGCAGCTGGCTGGATTTTCTGGCTTGTATGAATTTACTCTTATGATTTTTAAAATGTCTAGAATTTATTTTTATACACTGATATAATATGTAACATTATGCAAGAAAACTTAAATGAAAACCTTCATGAAATTTATTATTCTATATTCTCATATTCAGAAGTAAATACCTCAGTATTTCAATCATAACAACCACCAAAAATAAAAACAATATTCTTGAGCACTTGTTTGTCATAATTGAATTAATTGCTAAATGATTACAGGGACAACAAGACATGCAATTAACTTAATTAAGTCACTGGAATAGATTGTGAAAATATTACACAATTATATAATTGCATCATTAAGTAAAAAATCTTGTCAATGAAGTTAATGATTAAAAATGTCAAGAACATTTATTTGGAATAAAGCAATTTTAATGAATTTATAAATATTTCCATTAAGGAGTTACACATTTCTACATACATGCATGTATGTACTCAGAAGACACAAGCACAGACTGCTATGATAAACCAAATTTGCTTTTTAAATTCTTAAAACAAATACAACAACTCATTTATTTTCATGTATACCAATATGCAAGAGAAAGAAAATTTATTTATATAATATCCTCCAGTTACTCAGAGATGAACATTTTCTATTTGTGATTAATATGTAGTGTCAGTTTATCTTAGAGATAAAAAGAAAGACAATTGAAATTCTTATGTGACACTAATACAAATATTATCTTGTGTCTTGTTTTCTTATTTTCCCCATTAAATATGCGTTTTTTGTTAATGGCTCTTCCTTAGCAATTTAAAGTGTTTTTATTGGGTTGTATTGGATTTTTCACTAGTTTAATTCCATTAGACACGTCAGAGGAAATGAATTATCTTTTTTATATTCAGCAATGTTTTGAGAAAGTCCAGGTCTTTCTCATTAATCTTGGTGTTGATATGGAGTTGACACAAAACAACATCTAATCTCTCAAGTGAGAACAAGAAATGAAATGCCTAGGTGATTTTCAAAGTGTGAAGTGCAATGTAAATTTTGAGCCATTGATCTCAAGGATACCAGCTGATATTATTGCCCCAAGATTATGAGGAACACAGGAGCTTCTAGGTCACACAAACTTTTACGTATTCAAGTACCCACTGGAGAACTGGCTATTGGAGTTCATACATAAACATTTTCTAAGGTAGAGCTGGTAATCTCTTTCCAATGGACCATCTTGAAAGATCTATGAGTCAGTTTCACTCTTCACACACACGGTCATCCTGAGCTAGTATCCACTCGGTGTCAACTAGCAACACCATGAGAAATGGACAGTCAGAGAAAGTTTTTATATCCAATGATCCCTTGCCACTGACATCTTTTGGAGATGGCCAAATCATACAAAATTTGGATATATTTCATATAAAGTGAATGTGCTAGACTAAAATTGAAAGATGGCTGCTTTATTTTTTGGTAAATATACAAAAAACTCATATTGCATAAGTTTTTCAAAGAAAGCATTCATTTATTTATGCAATAAATTATTATGATTGATGTTTTGGCATCGAGTATTGTATTAGTTTAGTGCTCTGGTGGCCTAGTGTAAGAAGTTGTGCTGCCAGCCTATAGGTATATAGTTCAAATCCACCACCTGCTTCGAAGAAGAAATATGGGCAATCTCCTCCCATGTGATTTACAGCCTCTGGAATACCCACCAGAGAGTCAGCTAAAAGCTGATTTTAACTTGAAAGCAATTACCAACAACAGCAACAACAGGAGTACTGTGAATAACGACGCAAAATTAATGGTGAGCAAGACAGAGTGTGCCTTTATCAAACTTTAAATCTAGTTCAGAAGATTTAACCACACATCATTTATATCTATGTGCTACAATGCAATCCACATTCCCAGCTAGAAGATTAAAAGGAAACAAATGAGACTGTTTGATTCATGTACACTCTTCTAGATGAGCAAATTTCATTAATAAAATAGAATAAAAATTTATTCTTAACGAGAGGGTGTTGAGCTGGTGTTAGTGTTTATCCTGCTCAACCTCATGACACTAACACACCTGGTCAAAGTCGAGGGCAAAGAAGAGAAAACGGCTATCCAGTTAGTAGCACATTTGGCCCATCTCTTAGAAGAACACATAAGACCAGCAAAAACCTCTCCGTATATATATTCAATTCCTAGGGAGCTCTACTGGCCCTGCAGTAAGGAGTTGTGCTGTCAACACAGAGAACACTCAGTTTGAATCCAGCATCTGCTCTGAGACAGAAAGATGGACAATCTCTTCCCAGGAGGTTTACAGCCTCCCCAAAAAACCCTTGGCCACGGGTCAACTATGAATTACTTCCAGACTCGATTACACACAATAACAACATGTTCAGTTTAGTTACATAAATCACCACAAAATATTATCTGCAAGATCCCATTGGTGAAGCTTCAGACCCTTCTGTCAAAATCTTTCAATCTGACTCTAAAAACCTTTAAATGAATACTTATAGGGGGGAAATGTTTTGTCAGCCAGAGTGTCGTTTTATATCATTTGGATTGTTTTTTTCAGAGCCTCTTTCACATCCTTATTTCTCAGAGTATAGATCAGAGGGTTTAGCATGGGGATCACAACTGTGTAGAAAACCGATGCCATTTTGTCAGTGTCCATGGAGTAGCTCGAGCTTGGTCGGAAGTACATGAAGAGGAGAGTGCCGTGAAATATAGCCACAGCGGTTAAGTGGGAGGCACACGTGGAAAAAGCTTTGCGCCTCCCCTCGGCTGAGTTCATCCGAAGGATGGTAGTTAGGATATAGCAGTAGGAGAGAAGGACGGTTACGATACTGCACCCAACCACACAGCCGATAAAGGTGAACATCACTATCTCATTGACAGATGTATCTGAGCAGGAGAGGGCGAGCAAGGGTGGGATGTCACAGAAAAAGTGATTGATGACGTTAGACGTGCAGAAGGACAATCGGAACGTGCAACAGGTGTGGATTGCCGAGTCCACCAACCCCACAAGGTAAGCACCGGTCACCAGCTGAGTGCAGACCCTTCGAGACATGGCAAGTGTGTAAAGAAGTGGATTGCAAATGGCCACATAGCGGTCATAGGCCATGACAGCCAGCATGAGACACTCTACGTCGGCAAAGGCACCAAAACAATACATCTGAACGGCACAGAAGTTGTAAGGAATCCTCTTTTGCTGAGCTAGGAAATCAGCCAGCATCTTGGGAGAGACTGTGGAGGAGTAGCAGACATCACAGAAAGACAGATTGCTCAGGAAGTAATACATGGGCGTGTGGAGTCTTCTGTCCACCTTGATCAATAGGATCATCCCTACATTTGCAATCACAGTTATTCCATAAACGAAGAGAAAGAGCACAAACAGCCCCTGTTGGACATCCTTTCTGCTAGAAAACCCTAAGAATATGAAGTCAGTAAACCAAGTATGGTTCTCAGAGGCCATTGTTTAGATCTAGGAACTTCTTGGTGCTGAAAAGGAAATAGAAGTCATTAGTTTCATTTTACTGCCTTTATAGTTTAATACTACATCTTTTCTTCCTTTTTTTGATACAACTAATGAAAAATAAGAATGCTAGGATGGTTTGAAGAGAACTTATTCAATTAAAATATATCTTGCATAAAAAAAGTCTATTTAAAAACTGTAATGATACCATTTAAATGTTTATTGCTCTGTACAGAATTTGCAAGGGCCTTGGATGCACAAAGTGTTAAGCATTCAACTATTAACTTATTGGTGGACATCATGGAAAAATATTTAGCAATCTGTTTGCATAAACGGTATAGTCACATAACCCCAGTGTAACACAATTCCACTCTCTAATACATGGGATCACTAGGAGTCTGATAAAATCAATGGTAATGGGTTAAGTCTGGTTTTGTACACTATTTGCAGTACAATTCCATATGGATTAAATCAGGTAATTACCATATACACCTATGTACTATCATGATAATTTTTAATTTTTTTTATAGATTTAGGAACTGATACTATAATAATTCAAGGTCATGATTCTTACAATTAGTTTGGCTTAGATAATGTACATCTTTCCTTCTCCCAAAGTTTTTTTTTTTTGGGAGAGTTTGCATGAGTCCAATTTTATTGAAAGCAAAATAAACACAATATTTAAAAATATACAAACTCCAGAAATCTGATTGGTAAAAATTGTTCCCAAATTATGCTTGGTATATAAAGAAATTTAATTATTTGCCTGTGTGCCATCAAGTCGGAATTGGTACTGACCCTTTCTCTGGCGGTTTCTCAGGGGTGGTGAATTTCACAGGAAGAGATTTGCCCATCCTTCTGCCGTGGAGCAGCTGGTATTCTTGAACTATGAGCCTTTAGAATTGCATTGCAGCTTTTTCATACTATGCCACCATAGCTCTACTAGAAAGACTTAGAATTGGTAGCTAGAAATGGTAGAAGGGTTTGAAGGGCCTTTATGATTAATTTTGTACAATTTACTTTGCTTTATGGAGTGACCATGTACAAATTTGACCTGTTGCATATAACAATAAAACATTTTAAAAAAACATGATTCTTGAAGATTTATAGAAATAGTCAGCATCAGTGAATACAAGGAGAAATCTATATGTTCTTATCTGAGGGATATTCTGCCCACGATACTATCTTTTCTCCTCATGTCACTTCAGCTGAGTTTTAAAGGCTGATATTTGGATCAAATCACCAAAATAAGCAGTGCTTGTCTTCAACTTATTGTTAACAAAATTTTGCTCAATATCTATTTTTCCATCTCCTGCTAAGGATGTCACCTGGTTAATATTAGCATTTCTTGGAAGAAAATAAACAATGTTTTTCGTAATCGCCTTGGAATGTCTGAAAATTTCAAAGCCATCAGGATGCATCATCTTCTTAATGTCAAAGAGCTTTACAGTGATATAGTCTGGGCCTCCCCAGGGAGGGCTGAGAAACACGACATCTCCCTTTAATTGAGAAGCCAGCAGCAGGAAATAACCACAGATAAATTCAATCCTTCTCCCAAATTTGATTTAACTAAAGTCCTGTAACAGAGAGCCATAATTAAGTGAGCAGTTCAGGCATCAGAAATTTCCCACAGATCAACATAGGTTGAAGAGCAGATGGAGGAAGGGCAGAGTTTTGTTTTGTCTTTTGTTTTTTCTTGTGTGTACCATCGAGTCCGATCCAACTAGCACAGGAGCAGATTGTCCATCCTCCTCCAGCAGAGCATCTGGTGGGTTCGAACTGTGTGCCTTTGAAATTGCAGTGCAGCTTCTTGCCACTAGGTCACTAGAGCTCCGTAAGAGCAGAATTTTGGATAAAATCTTCTTCCTTCTCTGTCTCCATTTACCTTCAAAATGTTATGCAGACTCAGTAAACAAGACTACATGCAATTGTCATTGGATTGGTTGTAGTTTGTAACTCAGGATGTGCTAGAGTAGAAAAGGATGCTTATTTCTAGAAAAGTGATTGGATTTTCATCAGACATAGGTTTAATTGTACAGACAGAGAAATATGCCAGGGTTAAACATATTTCTTTCCACGAGTCCTACTCTCTGAGGGGAAAATATGAAGAATCTTTTTTTTATACTAAGACAAACAAGAAAACAAGTGTGTTTCCCTGGGTAATTTTTCCTGCTTCAATCTAGAAGAACTTATGGTCTTTATTTACAAACAAACAAGGCATATCGTTGCTGTAACTGTAATTGTTCTTTTGTGCTGTTGTATCTCCTGCGACTCAGAGACTCTAGGCACAACAGCTTTGAACTCTATTCTATCCTAAGCCAATCTCCGTGTCTCTGAGACATCTAACTCCGTCACCCCAGTTGTTGTGTCAATCCATCTCCTTAAGGTCTTCTTCTCTTGTAAGCTGTCTCTCCACCCTTCCAAGCATGATGTCCTTCTCCAAGGACTGCTCCTTCCTGGCAACATGTTCAAGTGTGTGAGATGTAGTTTCAGAATCCTTATCTCCCAGGAGCAACTCAGTCACTCTTTCTTTGTTCAACCAACTGCTGTAATCTCAGAGTCATGCTAGTTTTGTGTTCGCCATTCCAATTTCTAGTAGTTCTATTGTTACTGCTGTTTCTACTCAGCCTCTACCTTTGGTCAAAAAGAAGTTATGAAACTTGGAAGGCCAACTAAATTCTCTACCCCTCTGCTTTGTTACACCAAAACCAATTGTATTGTTTATCATATCATATCATATCATATCATATCATATCATATCACATATGTACTTTTGCTCCATGAGATTATATGAAAAATGAATGAAAGTATATTTAAAAAGAAAACACAACAAAAAAGCGAGAGAATTGAGGATAAATGATATCTGAATAATGATCCAGTGGTCAGAGTGTCTCTAATTATACCAATCTACCCTCTATGGACACATCTTTAAAAATGTTGTTCCATACAAAGTTAGAATATTTTAAGATATCAAAAAATATGATCACATTACCATTTGCATCTTACCCACTTATGTTTTGTTGTTTGTGTCGCTGTCTATAATTGCAAACACATCATTGAAAGGAATTTTTGAGTAAGGAGCCATATCTTCATTTGGTTGGTGGTTGTTTTAAAATAATTTTGGTGGAATAACCCACCTCAATTAAGAAATAAAACAGCCATAAACGACAAAATATTAATAATACCTGATCCAGAGAAAGGGTCTTTTCTTAGAAGCAACTCTCTCTGTGTGAACGCTCAGCATTGTGTTTTGGTGACCTGTATTATATAACTATTTCGGCATCTAGTCCCAGGATAGTCAACACGCTGTCTCCTAGGACTGAGTAACTGATATAATTAGATGTTTTATCATCTGTTATTTTATGTACAGAGGATGATTAAAAAAATAGACCCGAATCTCTTTTACAGTTTCTATATTTTTACATTTAATTCCTTATCCACTATAATACCTGACTTTTGAAAAAAGGACTTGAATTACTTTTAACCTATCTTTAACCATTCCAAAAAATATTGTTTTAGTTTCACAATATATATTCCAAACACATATACATCAATGCATAATTCTTTATGCCTTACATAAACACACACACACACACATACACACACCCCAAAACTATCCTTTGAAACACATGTACAAAATAAGTATTTGCCTAAAGATGTTGTTGTTGTTGCTGTTAAGTGCCGTAGAGTCGCAGGCGACTCATAGTGACCCTATGAAGGAGAGTCCTCGACGCTTGGGTGCCTTTCATCCTCTCTCCAGGTTCATAGGGTTTCCAGAGGCAAGCTATTATGGAAGTGGATGCCGCTCCTCCTTCCACTTTTGTCTAAAGATAGGAAATAATATGATCTCATTACCTTGAATTTCTATGTTTTGTCTTATAATCTACATGTTGTTGTTATTGTTATGTGCTGTCAATTCACCTGCAACCATTGTGATCCTATGTGCAGCAGTTCTGAACCTTGCCCTGTCCTGAGCCAGTCTCATTAATTCCGACACACCTACCTCGATTGCCCCAGTTACTGTATCAATCCATCTTATCCGGGGTCTTACTCTCCTGCACTGTCCCTCCACACTTCCAAGCATGATGTCCTTCTCCAATGACTGGTGCCTCCTGGCCACGTACTCAAGCTATGTGAGACAGAGCTTCAAAATCATAGCCTCTAAGGAGAAATTTGGTTTCAACATTTCTAATACAGATCTATTTATTTTCTTGATGGTCCATGGAATGTTTAAAATTCTTCTCCAGCATCACAACTCAAAGACATCAATTCTTCTGTCATCCTTAGGTATTGTTCAACTCTCTAATGCATAACAAGTAATTGCAATGACCATGACTTGGATTAGGCACACCTTCGTGTCTAGACTGACATCGTTGCTTTTGAGTACTCTAGAGAGATCCCTGACAGCAGATCTATCTAATGCAATCTGTCTTGTGGTTTCCTTACTGTTACTGCCAAAGTGTTAATTGTGGAGCTGAACACGCTGTGATTGCTAACAACCTTAAAGTCGTCTTCATCTATCGTGGTGCTGCCAACCGACCAAATGGTGAGAATCTTTGTCTTTTTGATGTTGAGCTTCAATCCATATCGAAAACTACATAAAGTCCTTGACCTTCAGCAACAAGCATTCAGGTCTTCTTCCATTTCAGAAAGCTAGGTTTTGTCATCTGCATAAAGTATGTAGACCATTGATGAGTCTTCCTCCAATCCTGATGCCACTTTCCTCCTCATAAAACCCAGCCTCCCAAATAATCTGTTCTGCACACAGATTGAAAAGGTATGGAGACAGGATGCATTCCTGACACATTCCTTTCCTGATTTTGAACCATGCAGTGCTTCCTTGCTCATTATAATAATCCTGAGATCAATTTCTCTGAAAGAAAGGAAGTTTTATTCTCCATAAATTTGTATACTATGTACGTTTTGATACTAGGGGTGCCTACAAGATATGGAGCATTAGAAGGTAAATTAAAAGGAATAAATACTATGACTATGTGACT